TCTCCCAGAGCAATAGGACATCTTTGTAAATTCTCTAAAGAATAAATTTAACAGTTATTAAAGAACAACACCCTGTTATTGCAGTCACTGAACTTCACATCACAAGGAAAGATGCAAGGGATTTTCAGAAAGACATCTGTCATTTAACAGTGACAGTGACCTCAGCACTGATGAGCAATTCAAATCCCCAGGGATGGAAACAAATTAACCCCTTGGTACCTGGTGGGTTGAGAACTCCAGCATTAGGACTGCTGTGCTCTGTAACAGTACAGGCTACAGCAGATTCTACCTTCAGACAAGCAGTAGATGGAGTGAGGTATATCTTTAAGATTATAACTGCTAGACATAAAAACCACTTACAACATTATTTAACACCATGCTGTTGACAGTCTTCAAAAGGTGCAAAGGAATTTCAGTGGCAGAAATAAACCCTTCACAAAAATAAAGGGAGCTCCACACTACACCACTGAAACCAGTTTTATGCTTTTAAAATAAAACGTGGGGGAGATCGCGCAAGATTCACCCTCATCTGAATAATAAGTTAAAATTAGCTTTCTAAAATACATATTCTACCTCAACAAAAAGATGCTCAATCAGTAAGCAAAGCAGTTGACGTTAGCTAGGATGGCTGCCATAGTCCTCTCCAGCTTTTTAAATCTATGGCCTTAACGGAGTACATCACTCTACTCCAGGTAAACTGTGACTACGCACTGAATGAATTCCTGATCTGCCATCAGTCCCCTCCCTCAGAGTAATTAGCTCCCAGGTGGATGCCTTTAACACAGAGTAAAAGATTCAGACAATATAAAGCACATTTAGGTATTAAGGCAACTGTAAATTGCCCACGGCCACGTGTGTAGTAGCTACACGCCTACCATGGCCACATTCTGGGAAGTTCAAACAGGCTCCAGCATGTTTCGGTCATCTCGGCGAGAGAAGAGGAAGGCTGATTTACAGGAACTCTTCAAGGAACCTTACTGACTGATGGTTTAATGATACAGCAACCTTACGGACTGACAAAATAAAAGGATCTGGACCACAGCGTTATTAGCTGGTGATGGACACCTACCTTATGAACCTTCTGAAATGGTAAGACTGAAAAGGATTGTACATTGACCAAGATGCTTTTTAAGTGGAGCACGTGTCTTTCCCTAAGTCCATATAGCTGTTCTACTCTTAATGATCTTTGACAAATAATCACTTAAATAGTCAGTAGGTTGTGCTGATTCAAAACACATGCATTCCTCCTGCCACCGTATCGTCCATTCTTAGCTTTTTTCGTACCCCACAAAAGCTCCCAACATTCCTGACTTACCTTCACAGCTTTGGGTATATGAAGAACCCCAAAACACAGAAGCAGTTTGGAATACACATTCTAGAATCCACGAGAAAGATGTATGGGGCAAAGAGAAGGGTAGACGGCAAGTCTCCATAAAAGAAGAGGCACATTTGGTGTGAACACTCAAATGTTTGACCTGCAGGGGACCACAAAGGCAAGCACCTTATTTATTCCTTGTTCTCTCCTAACACTTGGTATTCCTCAACCCTGAAGGGAAAAAAAAAAAAAAGAAATAAAGAAAACCCACCACACTTCTGCACAGGCAGAACTTTGTTTTTTGTTTTAAATCGGAATCCCCAGATGGTAGGGGGTCTTGGGGTCTTGTTAAGAAGGCTTTATGATTTTGCCTTAGATTTTGATGCTCCAGTTCACCCTCTAGGTATTTCTTTTCCAAAGGCGTCAGCTTTGAAGTACCTAAGGACAGGATGAGGAAAGCTCAGATTTGTAGAATAAGAGCAGAAGCTCTTTTAGCTTAGATGTTGGGACTTCAGTTTATACACATTTTTATTTATACAGAAAGGCTTAATTCACTGGCTAGCTGTATTTAAAACCAGTCAAATCTGTTTAAATACAGCCACCTTGAGCTGCAGGACTTCATACAGTTATAGTCATTTTAAAAGCAAGTACAATATTGTAAGCCTAAAATCTTAGAAGACAGCTTTAGAAATTAACTTAAAATTAAACAGGTGATAGGTTCTTCATTATTATACTTAGCTCAGAACAAACCTTCATTGCTAACAAAATAAAATTGCAATCCTGTCACATGATTTGAGGGACTTCATTGCAGGCTTTACACCCAAGAGTATGTGGGACTCACGAGCTTTTCCTTGCTTCAAACTGAGAGGAAGCACCTATGAGAGACCCAACCCTCTGACAGCTATGGGCACTCCTCACAATGAAGTTTCTCCCTGCAAACCTGAAAGCTGAGTGGGTGAGAACTTCACATAGTGACAACCAAAGAAAAGCTCTGGAGCCTCTATTTTAATGTTGCCTAAAAGAAGCAGTAAGCATTCCATCATTCGAAAAACACTGGAAGATTAAGTTGACGTTTAAAAAAAAAGCTTGATTTTTCTTTTGTTTTGGAAGTCTGTTGGCAGAAGGCAGCAAGAAAATGTATAGTTAGTATTTCAGCAAGCTGAAAACTAATTTAATTTATTCTTAACTGTAAGCAATACAGGAAAAGGCAAAAGCAAGAAAATCCACAGGCTCATTTCAAGATTTCAATCCTTTGTGTAGCATGAAAACAAGCCAAATGTTACACAGATGTGATGCTCGTCATTCCACAGTGCTGCAAGAAACAAGTGGATGTAAAAGTCCCAGTGCATTTGGGATGCAATACACCTAAGAACATGCTGCAAAGGGTAGTTATTCAGTATGTATGAGCTGCAAGGATTAGTGCCCATATTTCTTTCTACTGTATTGTACTCTCTATCTTACAAGTTCAACCCTAAACAAAACAAGAACACACAAACAAAGCCACAGAATATTTTGTCAACATTTCTCAGAGCAAAAAGACTTAAGTTCTAGCTCCAGAACACGAGGCCAGTTGCATGTATTTCTTCAGCACAACTACGAACCAACACACCATTAAGCAGTGTCCTATGAGAGATTAGGAGCACAGCAAGGTGCTTCAAAAGAAATAAAGTATCATTAGTATCACGATCGAAGTCAAATCCTTACAGTTCTTGTGCAAAGTAAATTCTCACCTCAAACATTCTACGCAGTTTTGGCTATGCAGATCAGAGGTACCCGCACCTGTTGACTCCACTCAAGACACTAAAGAGTTCTACAGCTCAAGCACTGGAACAGGATTAGAAAAGGATCTTGGCTGTAATATAGGATAGCCTTTTTTATTCCCAAACAGATGGTTTTTAACCATCCTGAAATACTTAACATCACTGATGCCATTTTTTACCAACCACAAAATTCTTCAAACCTCTCAATATTGCTTCCAGGAGAGGACCTATACCCACCAGCTGCCTAAGCTCCACCCAACTGCTTTACCCAAACCAAGTGACTCTGAGAAACCCCATCAGTCAACTAGTCACCATGTGGAACGAGAACCATCAACTACTACATTCCAAGTCCAGTTTTCCACTGACATTACATCTAGTTAACCTGGTCTTTAGGGATGGGAGATAAAACTATGCTCCCTGACTGTCTGCAGTTTTATAAAACTTTATTACTTGGAGCAGTCAACATTCCAAGAAGGGTCTTTAAAGAAAGATCTAAGGAAAGGCAAATATTACTGCAACAAGCACATGGAGTCAGGAAGCTGACAGCACAGTGTCCTTTGGTGAATGCAAATGAAACTGGAAAGGTCTACTTAGCAGGGATGTGCAAACATACCTGTATATTCTGGCAAGTACCTTCATCTAAAACTACCTAAAACTGCGGTCTTTATTTCTGAAATTCTGAACCAAACACATGCAATCTCCACTCAGTTTGGAGTAACTTGGGGAGGGGAGCAGCATGGGGCACAGCTTACCAGGAACCTGTCATCTGGAATGGGCAGCTATCACTCCCTCTGAAATTATTTCCATGCTTTGTTATGGATGTAGGAAATCAAATTAATTTGATGAAACATTAGCTACAAAACAGACCCAGGGACCCCATTACAAGTTCCTCTAAATCTACAGAAAAGAGTAATTTTGTCCATTATAATCAGCAGCTGCCCCCCTCAAAGATCTGTCATCTACGTTTAAGCTATCACTTGACACACGTGATAGGTGAGACCTGCCAGTACAGTACTAGTCAGCCATGTATTTTAGATCACCAGTGAAGTCAACGCTTAACGCGCAAAGATCGTGAGGTTGTAATGAATAAAATTACTACAGCAATGGAAGTAGAGATCTTAGGTAGAAGGGCTTATCTTAGCTGCTACAAAGCCGCTCAATTCTCTCCAACTAGTAAAGGAGCCACAGACAAAAAAAACCACCAATTGCAGAAATTTAGACAGCATGTAAGTTCTGTTAAGTACTACAGCACATTCTCATGCTAAAGCTCTTGCCAGGGTCTAGACCACTGATACAGTTCCTGTTAAGTTGCCTGGGAAGAGATCAGCATCTTCCTCTTGTAGGACAAGAGACCTATAAATAGAACACAAATAGTTGAGTGACCAACTCGTAAGGCAGGAGGGGAGACTGCACCTTAAAAGTAATGCAAATATTAATCCTGGCCTTAAGATGGAGGAGAATGAGTGCTTAGAGATCTAGGGAGTGCTTGGTTATTTTAAGCTTACATACCCGAAAGAAATAATGCTCAACCAGCTACAGGCTTAACACATCTTTCAACCAAAAACTTTCAACCTAGGAAAAAGTTAAATCAGACATTTCCAGTTCTCATTAGACAAACGCTAGATTAGAAGGTACCATGGAAAACAACTTATATGCTGTCACTGTTGTCTATCTGAGAAACTCCATACAAGTATACCAAAAGGATGCCTACCCTAGGCACACTATGAAGGCTAGAGGGCTTACCTCTCCTGGTCAGTGGAGTCTGAATACTTTTTAAAAAAATCAGCATTAAAAACATGTCGCTAAGATGAGACTAGATGCAAATTTGAAATAAATCATAGTATCAACATCTGATCTGAAAGCAATTCAGCAGCCAGCATGGGGAAATACTTGAAACACTTAACTACAGACACTTTAAAGAATAACATTTCTTAAGTGTTTTATTGCTACAAACTGGTACATCTTATCACAAAAAGCTACAAGGCATATTATAACACATACTCTATTATACAGAGTGCAATGCAGTCCCCAAAACAGCCACACTCAACAGCACAATTTTTGAAGTTACTCGTTCTGTACTAAGAGGTAAATACAATAAGCTTATGCCATACAGCATATAATATATTTACCCCACAGACACGCCTTTCCTTTCCACTGATTAGACCAAAAATTATTATATCCAACTTTCAATACACACACCAAAAAAATAGGATGCTTAAAAAAATATACAACACAAAGTTTTAATCAGCTTTAACAGTCAGTTTGCTATAAAAAGCTCAACTAAAATAGTCTTAAATTCATTTTAAACAAAATCAGAAACACAGGGGAATATATATATAAACAAGTTCTCCACGGAATGGAATGCATGCATATGGAGGGGAATCTTCAGCAACTTCATTTGAGACTATTAAAAAGTCTTAGCCACTTAGGAGCAGAAATAAAAAGCTGTTTCCCACCCCCTCCCCCCCAATATATTTTCACTTTCTTGCATTTAGTTATCTTCAGTGTGGTCTAAAGTGAAGTCAGTTTGTTCTTCAGTTTCTTCTTCCTCTTCTTCCTCCTCTTCTTCCTCACCCTCAGCTGGCTCATCAGCTTTGTCCTCTTCTTCTGCCTGCTGCTCCTGAGCCTGATCATTAATTTCAAAAGGATTTTCACCCTGGAACAGAAGATTGAGAACTGAATAGGGCAGCCACTAAGAAATGCCACTAAGACTATTTTATACAACTTCTCAAATTTTTTTTTTTCCTCCCCTTCAGGAAGATCAAAACAGATTTGATTCAAAATTAGCAACACATTTTTTATGTACACTGGAAACTGGGACCCCCAATAAAATCGTTTTAATGGAAGTAGAAATGACATTGAGAAAGAGCTAAAGTATGTTACTGTCATGGTTTTGGTCAGGACAGAGTTAATTTTCTTCACAACAGTGGGTATGAGGCTGTGTTCTGGATTTGCCTTGAGAAGGGTACTGCTAACACTGGTGGTTTTAGCTGTTGCAAAGGAGTGTTTGTACCAATTCAAGCACTTTTTTTAGCTTCTGATATACCACCTGTGGTCCTTAATTGCTAGCTGGGATTAAACACAACAGCAACATGCAAACTTCAGTTTAATTTCAACATTCAGTAAATTAAAATGACATGGTTAAGTTTCAAAATGTTTTTAGTAAGAACTGCAGCTGCTTTCTTTTTCTCCCCAATTAAAACCAGATCTGAAACAGAAGAGTTTTGTTATGCTTCTCCTTACTTATAGTCTTTATTCACTCTAAATAACTCTATTAAAAAGGCAAAGTCTTCAGTAAATGAAAGAGAAATCTACAATAATTACAGTGACTAGACTGAAATTCATTTCTTTGCTGATCTAGAAAAATTTGCAAGCAGATTTCTCAGACAGTATTTTAAATACACTGGCATTCTAGTTTCGCATTTCCTCTCATACAATAATTCAGTAGAAGACATACCTCAGCTTTCACTTATTTCAGATATTTAAAAACTATGAATAATTAGTGAATAATAAAGAATAACAACATGAAGTATTATTAGTAGTTCCTTCGCTGAAGCTCCTTCCATGTTGGACAGAGCAAGTCTGATCTGAACATGACACCAATCACCAACTACACTAGGACTGGGATTTTAAGATGATTTCAAAGATGATCCAAAAGAAAAATGGAGTTCTAGACCCCTTTCCTTTTTTGCTTAAGTATTTTTACTTCAGCTACATTTTTCATGCAAGGTCTTCCAGGTAGCCTACAAATCACTGAAAAATTAGAAAGGTATAGAAACATTTAGCAAACGCCACTAACAAAAAAAACTTGGCTTCACTGTTATTCTAAAATTAAGAAAAGTCATAAATCTCAACTTAAAGAGTAACCCAAAGACAGCAGAATTCTTTGCGATGACGTTATTGCAAGGCCCAGGATAACTTAACGCACGCACTTCGTAACGGCCAGCCTACAGCACTGAGATGATAATGTCTGTTAAGCCAAATCAACTCACAGCCTAATCAAAGGCATACCTTGCTCATGAGGTTTATATGTGGCAGCTAGTATTTAAACATCTTTAACATACCAAGTTTGTCGTTTTTAGAAGTAGATTCTTATAGGTAAGATGGTATCAAAACTTATGTGAGCCCTACAAAACCAAGAAAACCCCCTATCTCAGTTAAACTCATGCCACTTTTAGGTGACCCAGTATTACTGTCAAGCACCACAGGGCTACAGAACACCAAGGAGCATTTCACTGAATAGGCGTGTGCCCAGCACTGAAATATCAAAAATATTTATTAGCTCAGTAAACTGTTTAATTAAAAAAAACCCATAGAGAACAGCAAGTGCCCTAACCAATTCAACTCCAATATCAATGGAAAGCATTGTGAAATAAGTTCTTTTCAGTTACATCCAAACCTTCATTCAATAAGGGGTAGTACAACTCCCCAAAAGTGTACTCATCTACTTTCCTTTCTGGACAGACGTGAAAGACCTGACTGCAAAGCCTTTAGTGCTGCTTTCCTCAGGGGGGCACATTTGGATACCAGAGCAAGGATTTCCAAAGACAGGCAGAAATAAGCTAATTACTGAGTTACGAATACTCCACCTGGTGAGCTTCAAATACATGCTCATCAGTAGGCATTACAGAGGGAAGACAAGTACATGAAGATTTTCGTATGGCCTAATAGAGAGCATTGTTACCTAGCCAAATAAAAGGCAGCCTTTCTCTGTAAGTGATTCACATGGATATCCGAAGGGCTTCTACAGCTCTCGTACAAAAGAGAAGACTTAACTCCTCATGTTTAGGCCAGGCATAACTATTAATTGTAGCTGAAGAAAGCACTTCTAAAAGGACTACATCCACACTCCCATGGATGGCTTCTGGCTGTCCCTGACTCTTAGGGACAAGCTACCGAAAATCGTTACACTTCTCTGCTGTAGAGACAGTAAGTCACTTCGGGCTAACCTAACACAACTGGATTCGGCACACTACTTCTGGCTAAACAGACCTCTACACAATAATAAAAAAAAGTACCCTAAGTTGCTTTCCCCAACTGTTTTTTCAGAGAAAAATGCACTTTCCAAATTCTCAAAGTAAGGACAAAGTTACTGCCCTCGAGGGGAAGATCCTAACGACTGCACTCTTTTCCAGTGATGCGGCATCAGAGGCATCCCACACCGCATGCAGAGCCAATTTTGATGCTAGTCAATTCCGACAGCTACACTCACCTCATCTTTCCAGAGGGCTTTAAAAAAAGAGAAAAAAAAAAACCCAAACTGAAAAGAACACGGGCACACCCCTGAACTGACGCAGAAAGACTTTATGATGCCTACGGAGCATAAAAACACAAGCAGGTAAGTAGTTTATTCCCAAGCGATGCATTCTTTGGCTTCCCTCCCTCTAGATTAATTAAATTTCAGAGAAAGCTTCAGCCTCTGAACTGGTACTTACAACCAATGCTTTGGGATTCCCATGTCCCCAGAAACCACTCTCTATATCAATTTATAACAGGTCTCTAAAACCTGACCCAAAAAGATACCCTAGTCTGCCTTCCTAACTGGTAAATTTTATAATGCCTTCACTCATACGTGTGATTAAACAGCCCTGGGACGTAGGGACAGAAAATGTCAACCTTTACAATGCTTCTCTTGAGCAACATCCAAGCAGCTTTTCATCACAGACATCATTCTAAGAAGGTCTAAGTGGTCCAAATTTAGTGACAGTCATGACTGCATCAAGTGATAACTTTCGTCTCAGAAACAAGATGGTCTTTTTCCAGCAAGATGGTCTTTTTATTATAAAGGAACTTGCTACAGGTTCATAAAACTTCCAAGATGATTGTTATGGAATGGTGAGCACATGGGTTGCAATGGATTTCCCCTCTTTGCCCCCCCTTTTACAATATGGATGTAATACAGATAAGGAGAGATTAAGAATTTTTTAAAAAGCACAAATGAGTACATTGGAAGCATAAAAGGGTACCTAGAAGGCTGGCCAAGGTAAGAAATAATCCTTTCAAGGGTCTTCAATTAAAATAACTATGATGGGAGATATGAAACAAGAGATTAAGAGGAAAGTTTCTTTGCATGCAAAGGTCATGATGCAAACAATATGCTGTTAATTTATGCACCAACTGGATTTTCAAATAGAGGAATTGAAAAAAAATCATGAAATAAGATAGCATAAAATATGGTCACCAGCACCACTGGATCATAAAGGTAACATACAAGCTCTAACAACTGGAAACCTCAGTCCTGGTACAGAAGTTTTCTGGAAACTGAATGGAGAAGTTTCCAACAACGCAGACACCAGCTCCAAGGCAGCTTCAGCAGCACAGGGAACAGAAACAGCATTTTGTGACAGAAGACATGATACAGAAAATTGTAGTCCTAGCATTGGTCCAGCTGAAGACTGGAAGAAGAGTACACATGACTAATTCTAATACTAACAGATCAAAGGAAGCTGCATTAGTAAATTAAGGCCACCTTTAAAAAACACTGTTCTCCATCTTATAATTCATGTTGCTCTCATCATCGTCTGTGGCACTAACAACTGCTGGCAAGCCCTTTCTAGAACTATGTTTTTTCCTTTCCATTGCTAACTCTAGAAGTGTTAACATTCATCAGAGCCTTCATAAAACACCAGGAGCTCCTCTAAAGCCACATCATCTAATTTACTGAATCAGCCTTCCATGGAGCTGGGACATTAATTGCAAATGGCTTTAAACAAACAACAAACCTCCACACACCACCCGATGGATTATCAGGCTAACTCCATATAGATCCTTCCATTTTCAGTGGACACCACAGGCGCCACTACCAGGGGAAGAAAAAGCTTAACACACCGAAAATGACCAGAAGCGATTTAACCTGTACGCCTTTGTAATAGCTGACGTGTCCAAGCTTACAGCGCTAGCTCAAAGTTTCAAGTTCAACTACGCATACTTATTTAGCATGTACAGGTCAATACCACCAGATTTGAATTTAATTCTTAGAAGATTTCACACTGAAATTTGAAGATCTAAAACGAACTTCATCATTAAGTGGTTAAATATAAAAATATTTGAAAGTGTTTACAGACAAAAAAAATTAATTCTGCTTTCCATTTTGCATTACGAACTAGAAACATGTACTTAAAGAAAAATGGAAGTTAAGTGTCGAATGACACCTTTGAAGCTGTTAGTTTGTTTAAAATGGACACATCTATTTGTTGTCTTTCCTTCCGCACATACAGCAAGCGCCCTGCGGAAAAGACTCTAGTTGGACAGAAGATTAGAGCAAACCACAAGAGACTTTCCACTAAGCACGGGGGAGAGGAATAGGTATGGGAATACCACAGACAGAATGGTATTTTACTCAAAAGAAGTGACCAGTGTCCCAAGTAAGACAGCAGTTGTTACTGCTTGTCAACTCGCTTACTCCAGACTAGAAGTCATGATCCACTCCCTCATTTTCAAACATTAGCCAGAGCCTTCAACCTTGAAAAGTCTTAGACAATGCAATACATTGAAAAATCCTCAAAACTGACCACCTGATGCAGCCAGCCAATCAACCTTAATCACATTAAACTGTCACCCTCCACGCAGTTACGCAGTAGCTTGATGTAGTAATCAAAATTACTTCAGCAGAATTTTTCACACAAAACCACAATGGAAGGTGGGTCCCAAACACTGGCTGTGGTAGAGCTGGATGACCACTACTCTCAGCAGGGTGTGTGGTTCTAGAAGGCAGTACTGGCCTCAGCAAAATGAGAACTTTCCTTATTTCAACTTTATTTGGGATATCCCCCTCTTCTCGCACACACTTCAGAAGAACAAAACTTCCCACTGTGCACAAAGAATTCCAGCAGTGTAATAGAAAAGGGGGGGGAAAAAATCTTCTACCTTTTTTGCTCATGTCAAACTGTATCAATAGTGATGCATAAAAATCAGAAGTTGCTGACCTGCAGTTTTGTTCTCCTTTTGTCAAAGGGATTAATTTGTAATGCTGATGGCCTGCCTTTGCAACCTGGTTCAAGTCTGTGTCAACAACCTCGCAGGTCTTCCCTGCCTTGAACTTCCTCCTTCCACACTGCTTACGCAGGACAGGCAACACTTTCCAAAACAATGCTGGGTTTGAGGGGGTTTGTTTGGTTGGGTTTTGTTCTGTTTGGGGATTTTTTGGCTGGGAGGTGGGGCAGGGTGTTTCCCCGAACCTCTCTGCCCTTCATCGCAAAGCAAACTGTTTTCAGTGGCAACAAAGATTTTCTACTCTCCTGGAAGCCTGCATGGAGCCAATGCATGCAGCGCATGCTCCAATTCATCACGAGCTGTATCATAGAACCTGACTCCTTCAGTCTGCACTGAATTACACATTTGGGTAAGGATGGGAGGGATTTGCAGAAGCCAGATACATCTCACTGGGTAGGTGCTGCTGAAAGTGTATGAAGTTCAATCCATTCCAGGAAATAGCAGTGCTAGGCATGCTGAAAGCATCCATGGTCTCCTGGTGAAGGCCACCTTGCAAATTTTGTTTTCCTCAGTTTCCAACTGATGAACGGCAAGTTTCCATTCCCCCTCTTACCCATCCCTGCTAAGGAGCTGCACAGGACAGCACACAGGCATGCAGGCTGTAAGGTGGCTGGAAATACGCAGCTCCTCCAGGCTGTAGTGTCGTCACTACCTACTGTGCTGGTTTTAGCCTGTACAGAGTTAATTCTCTTCACAGTAGTGTGATACTTAGTTGCTGGCTGGGATTCAACCAGGACACCTAGCTTCCCTTAGCAGTCAAACAGTTGTCCAAATCTGATTCTCGCACCCAGCCACATATATCTTTGCAGAACATGACTAATTTGGTATTTTAAATCACAATTAACTTTTGCATTGGCTCATACATACCCTGGCGTGCTTCTGCAACACACTATTGCTTTGTGTGAAAGAGTCTGTTTGACCACAGGCAAAATTACAAACCAGTTAGAAGTAACTACCAGAAATAGCTAACAGTTTTACTACAGAGAAAGTCACTCTGCTGGCCCAGCAGAAAAAAAACCCACATGCTGCTAAAATAAAATCACATGTGTTTCTCAGGCCACGCACCTGCACCACAGACCTTCTAAAAATCACTGATCACAACATCTGCTGTTATAAGCTTTCATTTTTTGTATGCTGCCATGAAAAGTACTTCAGTCCAAAGCCACACGCTGGACTTTATACTTCCAAACTTAAAGACTGACTTATTTGTTAAGTGGGTTGTGCTCTGCAGTTAGTATTACATATCAAGGCCATGCTGATGCTTTCCCAAAGCTCGATTTGTTTGGTAAGAGCACCTAATTAAAAATTTACTCCATATAAATGGTAAACCAAAACCAAAGGCTGGTAAATCTGAAGGTAGTAATTTTTTCTGCAAAGTTATCTGGGACTGGCAAAATAAGTTAAAAATATATTCAACCTCTGAGCTACCTAGAAGGCAGAAACAGAAGAGAGCACTGTGGTTAAACTCCATCAGCACAGAGGAAATAGCAGTATAGCAAACATTCCAGACTACCCGTTTCCAGTTGCATCTTACCTTCACATACAGCTCGTATCGTGCCTTGACTATAGGATTATTCAAAATACTGGTGGCAGTAAGAACACTCTCCCTTTTTATTTGTTCTCTGTAGGCCTAGGAAACAAATTTTACAGTGAATAATTATCATACACCTATTACAACAGTCACACACATCTGAATTCATGGTCAGTTTCTGTAAGAAAAATGAGCATATTACAGCATGAAATGCTTATTCTTAGCATTTAGATCCAAACCACATAATAGGCTCAATTAAGTTTGGTAGTATTTATTGCTCTAGCTTGATCAACAGATATATTCACATCTTGATATAAGGAACTACAATCACGTATCTGTCTACAACAAGTTTCCTGTTCTTATCTACAGATAACATGCATGCTCCTCCACCACAGCCTAACACTTGGTTGAAGATGTCCCTGCTCTTGGCAGGGGTGTTGGACTAGATGACCTTTAAAGGCCCCTTCTAACCAAAACCATTCTATGACATTCCATAATCACAGAAGCTCATATATAAAAGAAAACATTACTCTGGCAATCTTGCTTACTATGACAACTGTGACTTTTTCCCCCCCAACTCACTCTACTTTTTCAACCCTTCTACCAACCTTAAGAGTGCATCACTATAAATCGTAACAGGGACCAATACCATACTACTGCGTCCAGCTGTGGGGCCCTCAACATCAGAAGGGTATCGACTGGTTGGAGCGAGTCCAGAGGAGGCCATGAAGATGCTCAGAGGGCTGGAGCACCTCTGCTATGGGGGCAGGCTGAGAGAGTTGGGCTTGTTCAGCCTGGAGAAGAGAAGGCTCCGGGAGACCTTATTGCAGCCTTCCAGTACCTGAAGGGGCTACAAGAAAATCCTGGGGGGAAGGACGGGGTGACACGACTTTTTACAAGGGCCTGTAGTGACAGGACAAGAGGTAACTAGTTTAAATTAAAAGTGGGGAGGTTTAGATTAGATATCAGGAAGAAGTTCTTCCTGGAGAGGGTGGTGAGGCACTGGAACAGGTTGCCCAGAGAAGCTGTGGATGCCCCATCCTTGGAAGTGTCCAAGGCCAGGCTGGATGAGGCTTTGAGCAGCCTGGTCTAGTGGAAGGTGTCCCTGCCCATGGCAGGGAGGTTGGAACTAGATGGTCTTTAAGGTCCCTTCCAACCCAAACCATTCCAGGATTCTATGCTGATTCTGAACTGCTCTCACTTTTTTCCAATTAAAAAGATAAAAGCCAAGAAGAAATAAGAGACACCAGGTTTGTTACCTTGTTGGAAACATATGTATTGTTTTGTAATTTGAGTATGAAAATCTTTCCAACACTTAATGGCAGTAAAAAAAATTCCCATGAAATAAAAAAATAATTCTAGCAACTTTCTCAGGACTTGCTACTGTCAGCTATTAAGCACACCAACATTTCATCAACTGGGGTTGCTTAAGCCCTGGCTACCTCATGAGACATCATGTTTAAAGTGTAAGAAGGACATTCTAGCTTCCTAGAAAACAAGTAATACCAATGAGAACTTAGAAATTACTTGCATCTCATACCATAACACTTATCTACAATTAGATCATGCTTGCCTTTTTTTTTTTTTAATAATAAGTTATATCTTACTTGTTTTCCTTTTGTGTGATCAGGAGATTTTAAGTGCTGCTGAACAGAACTGTGTAATGCAGGAACATACACACTGCAAGCACTGCAGTGAACAGTCTCAACTTTCATCATATGGTCATCAGCAGTAACCCCTGCCAAAGAAGATGCAACAAATCATTAACACAAAATGTGCTATACTAGGGAAATGGAAGATGAAATCTGTTTGGGTTTGGTTTTGTGGGGGGTTTGTTTGTTTGTTTGGGGTTTTTTGGGGTGGGTTTTTTTGTTGTTTGGTTGGTTTTTTTTTTTAATACAGAAAACTAGAGCTCTCAGTTGTTAAACATGTCAAACTGAACCACAGGGGAACGTTCACTCAAATTCAGGAATCAAATTTAAGCTCCCTGAAGGCAATGTTGAAGGCAGAAGTTTTTCACTTGGATACTCCCAACTCCTTCTTACCACAAACCATATCTGAAACCCAAGCAATTACATTTGCTGTCTGAGGTTATGATATAAACAACTACCTGCCTAAACAAAAGGAAATAAAAATGATACAATAATCAAATTGAACTATTTAGTGCAGAAAAATGCCATCTGTTTCAAATCAACAGTAACTAATATCCTTACACATTTTGATAAAAGAAACAAAGCAAAGCTTCACCAAAGCAGCTGGACTTACTTTATCCCTCACGGAAAAACTAATTTATTTCCTTGCTTCCCCTCACCCCCATGAAGCACCACAGGAATCCAACTCCTCTTGCAACCTCCAGTGTTAGCTTGCCAACAGAACATTCTGCTCACAAGGGCAAACAGGCCCTCCAGTACTTCAGAAAAGTATACAGAAGAATTTGTGATATTGTTAAGATGTTGGCTATATCCATTTTTAAGTAGCATTTAGCATTCAAATTAAGGTAATATTCCAATACAGTTATTGCCTAAAGTAGAGGTACTCAAAAGACTTCCCCTCTGTCTCTAACATCTTTTGAAATCCCTCAAGAAAAAGATGAAGTGGAAGGATACGGCACAGCAAGGCAAGGACACACAAAATGCTCCAGAAAACTGTCTGTAGGGCAGCTAAGGGAAAAAGAGTCAGGCCAAGATGCATCTTGGGTAGCCAAGAAAGTGCTCAAACTCCTCCTTTTGGCAGTGTCTCTCAAAACCACAGCAACAATCCCACTTACATTATCCAGATCCTTGCCATCATAATTGACCACTATCACCTTACTGCTTTATTACACGCCCCCTCTCAATCAATCAGCATCCCCGTTACCACTCCTCATGCATTACGCTGAGTAAGGCTGTGACAAAGCCCACATAATACTGTTTGCCAAGTACTAGCACACTGTTATCTTACTTTCTGACAAGGCCACCTGGATAGCAAAATAAATAAGGTTTGCAATCTCCCACTGTGCTTACATTCCACATTATGTGAATCAAGGAATCCAACCAGGTACAGAAAAGGTGTGAAAACTAATATTCTTAACCCAAACAATTTATCAAATTTGAATGAAAGAATGAAAGGAGAAAAGGACAAGCAGAACTCCATGATATGCAATTTCACATAAAAAGCATTACTCACCCTCCATTATATCTTTCTCAGCAGCTTGAGCATTTTCTGTTTGGTTACTTGTCTGTTGCTTACGCATAGCTGTCTTCTTGAATTTATTCACCATACACTCCTACAGAGAATCAGGAATTACAAATTAATTGCTGTTACTTCTTAAGGCACTACTTTACAGACGCTGAATTTGCCTCAAAGTTTAGTACTACGTACTGTGCCAAAAATCATTGCTATTCCTTTTGTAGATGACAAGTTACATGTATGAAACTATATTCTAATGTAAATTATTATATACATCAAAAAACAGTTGTCTTACATGAAGAAATTCCATCACTACTTTGTCAAATTTGGTTTGCTTCTGGATATGATCCAATGTTTCCTGGTGAGCTGCACTGTCCAGATGCGATTCAATTTCTTTTTCTTCAAATGTTCGAAATTTGCAAAATGAGCAAGTAAATGCCATTCTATCAAGAGAAATACAATTAATAATATTACTATTAAAGAAAGGTTCTTTCCTCTCTCCTCAAAACTATGAGGACTTGACAAACCTAATCAGAAGATGAATATGAAAAACATTAAAAGAAGTCTAAGTGGGGGGAAAAAAAAAAATCTGGTATCACCATTATGTTTAGAACACTGGTATTACCAGTTACCGTTATGAAGGGTAAATATAAGAACCAAATAAAAGAAGATGTATTCTTACAGAAGTATAAAGGGGAAAGAAAAACACTGTACATAAGACAGAAGTTCCCACACAAACCTGTATCCATCACCATATTTTTCACTGTTTTTCTCCCTTCTACGCCTTTGCTTCTCTCTTCGGGCCTCAATTCGTCGTTTTTCTTCTTCCTCACTTTTAACTTCTCCTTTGCCATCTTAATGTAAGGTAGAAGGAACAAAAAAAAAAAAAAACACACACACAAACCACCAACAAACCACCAGTAAAAGTATTTGTCTTCCCTGTCCTCTCCACAAATATCCCAAATGCAGAGAAAGACCCTATACCAAAGTGGTTCAATGGCTTATTTACACGCCACAGAAGTTTTATTTTCCTCCTCTAAAGACAACCAATTTAAAAATTTGCCTCCAACAACACAAACATAGCAGTTCAGGAGTTACACTCATAAAAGTAAGGAAATGCAGACTTAGAGCAAATCCAGCCCAGTTGTGCCTAATAACTAAAGGCCTCTTCAAGTAAGCAAGCAGGGTACTGGGGGTGTATGGGGAGAAACACATTACTTAAGACTGCACGGGTTTACAGCACCATTGCTACGATCTCCTTACGTAAGAAGGAACTATCTAAAGCCATTCTCTTCTGCTGAGAAGGCAGATACCAAAAACAAAAGCAAAGGCTCTCAAAGTAGACAAGGCAGTGTTTCATTAAGGTATGGTACCCCACCTGAACTTCAACAGCTTTATTTTCCCCAACAGACTTTGCTTGATTTCACAGAAAAAATATTGCAAAGATTTTCAGCTGAAGAAATAAACCAGTGAAGCAAGAACCATATGGGAGCTGAGGGGAGGGGGAACCAACCACACAACAGAAACCAACCAAACCTTCAAAGAATTTGTTCATTAGATTATCACCTGACATGTAAATATGAGTGCAAACAAATAAATTACTAGAAATCAGTTTTGCAATATTAAAGACCTCTAAGAACATTGACCTAACATGGCCAGCAGGTCGAGGGAGGTGATTCTCCCCCTCTACTCTGCCCTCTTGAGACCCCATCTGGAGTACTTGTCTCCAGGTCTAGGGCTTTCCAACATCAGAAGGACATGGACCTGTTGGAGCAAGTCCAGAGGAGGCCACGAAGATGCTCAGAGGGCTGGAGCACCTCTGCTATGAAGAAAGGCTGTCAGAACTGGGCTTGTTCAGCCTGGAGAACAGAAGGCTCTGGGGAGATCTTACTGCAGCCTTCCAGTACCTGAAGGGGCTACAAGTAAGCTGAGGTGAACTTTTTGCCAAGGGCCTGTAGTGACAGGACAAGGGGTAACGGGTTTAAATTGAAAGTGGGGAGATTTAGATTAGATATCAGGAAGAAATTCATCCCAGAGAGGGTGGTGAGGCACTGGAACAGGTTGCCCAGAGAAGCTGGTGATGCCCCCTTCCTGGAAGTGTTCAAGGCCAGGCTGGAGGATGCTGGGAGCACCCTGGTCTAGTGGAAGGTGCCCCTGCCCATGGCAGGGAGGTTGGAACTAGATGGTCTTTAAGGTCCCTTCCAGCCCCAACCATTCTGTGATTCTATGACTTTTTGCATAAGTGTATTTATGTTTGTCTTTATGCCTGCTTTAGTAGCCTATAGACAAAGGGAAATAATTATAGTATTAATCAGTGCATAGTTTTAGAGCAGGAAGACAAGGATCACTTAGTTTTCCTTTGCAGTTCAACCTTAGAAGAGAGATCAGCTTCCATGAAGTCTGCCTCCATCCAAACAGCAACAGAAATGAATGTACAACAGCATAATGCAAAGGGAAAAGAAGACTTGGAAAAAGCTCTGTAGCTCTAGAAGTTCACTAAGGACTGAAAACATTTCCACTGACTAACAGCTTACACTTCTTTCCTAATTACCCCAAGGTTTTTCATTTTGTAGCAAAGTTTCAGAAATTCCTCTGATCCAGAGAGGAGAAAAACTCCTACCCAAAAGATTAATTTTTTTAAATTCAATTTGAAAACAAAAAACAACCACCCACCCATAGAGGCAATTGCCATTACTGATCTCAAGATTTAAATTTCACTTAGTGCCTTACCACCAGCCCTGGAAACGTGCAAAGGATCACTTGTTATACAAGATTTTTACAGCAGTAAAACATTCTGTGGAGCGAAAAGGCCTGTATCTTAACCCTCAAGCTCACAAACTCAAGTGGCCATCATGTTACCAGCTGGGCAATGGAAGCCAGAACCTACATATGAACTGGGACTCTCCAGAGGGGCTCCCACTTTCCTTCAGTGCATTTATGGTCACTTTAAAAAAACCACACACAATCAAAAAAAAAAAAAACCCCAAACACCAAAAGGTTACTACGATTTCAAGAAAAGAGACTAATCAGCTGCCTGCCAATTTCTAGCACATCTTACCATGAGACTACATAGGCAACAGGGCAGCAACACGCAAGGGAAATTTTGAAAGAGGACTAAAAATAGTTTCAGTCATAAGACAGGATTTCTTCGTGTACGTGTTTGAAAACATAACAGTTAATATACACTTTAACTGACTTTATGAAAACTAATAATTAATCTGTTTCGTTAAGCCTGCACATGAGATAGACGCCATGTTCTAGGGAGCAGCTCTCCAAGTTAAATTAATCCACCTCTATAAAAGAGAGACTCACCTCAGGGTGAGGTTCATCAGCTAGTGGGATAAATAATAGGATACGGGTGAGGAACTGGTGCGATAAACAACATTAAAGCAATGAAATGGCAGTAAGTATAGAAGACCATTTCCATTAATTTCACAAAAATTAAAACAAGTCAATCAACAAGATAGAGATGATCAGAAAGCAGAGAGACAGTAAGCACGTAAAGAACAAAACAAGTAATGGATGGATGTTACAATCACCTTCTCCATGTCCTAAATTTATAAATGCTTAAAGAAAGTCATGCTCATCAATAACTATTAAGAGGTCACACGTACGAGCTTACTAAATGTATTCACTCAGAGTCACACAAATATAATACCACACCTGAAAGCAAACTGACTTACCTCCAAAGGTCTGATATCCAAGATCATAAGCATCTCTTGTAAAGTCTTCATATATAACAACTGCACCACTTGTGTCCACTTCAATTTCCTAATAAAGTCAAATCCGTAAATTTTTAAGAAAAACCCAACAACATTCCAAATCCAGAAACACAGTGCAAATTACCTTATTTCCAATAATCTGTTACTTGCCTTTTTTATCAAATACGACAATAGAAGCAAGCAAACTATCTAGTTAGACTCAGTGTACAGACACTTCAAGCTATCTATTTTTCTTTAATGCCTTGAGGTATTTGTGAATTAGTTTCACAATCAAAATTCTCACCGTCTTCTACATAAATATTCTGACTTCCATTTCAGACTCTCAAATACTTAGTTGAGAATATGTTAATCCCTCCACTCAAAAAGAAGGAAAATAACATTCCAGTCTTTCAGCATGGAACCAGGATATACATACATGCTTAGGTCACTTAACATTTCCTGCAACTGATCTTTATAACACACCAGAGAACACCTGTTAACACTGGTTCTTTTTTTATTCACCCTTGCTCCCTGATGTGTCTTATGTCCTATCCATTCTTCATCACTGATATTTAGTAATCTTCCTGTCATTTTGTACCTAATTTCTCAACCCATCCAAGCAGGCCATAGGGGTATGAATTCAAGGTGACCATCTGTGACAACACGAGAGGTGTTTGTATGACAGCTCTCTGTGCTTTACAAGAATAAGTAGGGTTTACAAACACACTAAAACCCATTTTCCAGGCTATCTGCACAAGCTATACTTTTCATTTGAAATGAGTAAGGATTTCAGACTGCCACCAAAATAAGATAGTTTTAGATAAAGAAAAATAAGTAAGTTCTCCTACACTCAGGTGCTTAATATTTTGTAAATCTAGCTTAATAATCATTCATCCTCAGGTACACCATAGAAAATTCTGAAAGAATCACAAACATTTCTCAATTCTGGGAATCTTTACCTCTATAGTAGAATCCTGGAAAGATGACTTCATATCTATAAACATAAGGAAGAAATAAATAATGTAAAAGACTGTCACCATCAATTCATTTTAAGGCAATAAGATATTAAGGAAAAAACATTCAGCTTGCTTTGCAGCTAGGACAGCCTACATCTACAGCTCATCATATTTCAGTAATAATACCGAACAAAAAACCAGTTATCCTTAGGATTATAAACTAAAGAGTCTTCTAGAGGCAATCACCTTATCTAACTCCACAAAACAAGAAAGTCAATATTCAAAGGACAATAGAATTTTGAGATACATTCTCATGTGTGTACTGTATACCAATTGCATCCAATTTTCTATTAGTTGTCACCTACTTTTTAGTTTTCAACTACATGATAACACTTTGAGCGTCTTTCAGTTCACATTTCAGAGAAGTGTGTTAAGTCATCCAATAGTTTTTTTCCTGCCGGTCTTCAAATCACAGGACAGGTTGAGAAAAAGTACATTCTAGTAGGCACCATCTACTCGACTTCTTAAAATAACTTCAATATTATGTAGGACACAATAATCCTTGGAATGTGGAAATCAGTGGGGGTCAACAAATAATAAAAGTGCTCTGTCTGTAGGTGGTTTAGAAAAGGAGAACCTACACAAGTACTGAAAGAAGAAGAGATGCGAGTCTTTGATACCCCTGGATGTGTATCAAAGCTGGGGAGTTCAGCCCTAACTGTCCCTACACAAAAGGCAGGGCTGTGTGTTCTATATGTCCACTGCCTGAAATGTTCACAATACTTTTGAAGGTGAAGTTAAGACAACAGTTTTGTAACACATGGTGGTGTAACTAGAATGACAAAACCAAAAGGAAAATTTTTATGTGGAAAATTCTCTCAAAGCAAGTAATTTATTCAAAGCTTATTAGGGAATTTTTTGTCCAGCTTTGACTATACTATCAGAATTATCCAAGTTGTAGGACATCTTTAGGGAAGCTAAAGAAGCCAAGCACCACTAATACTTAGCAATTTGTATTTCTGGTTTACCTATCACATTTCCAGTTTTTCCTCTTCACTATGGAAATTCATTTACAAGAAGGAGCAATCTCTCTCCCTTTCATAAATTACTGATAACAATGTTCACTGTTTTCACAGCTTGCCTCCCTTTCCCTCTCCTCCTCACCCACATCTTATGCCTTTTTTACCTGCCTTGCAGCTGATGCACTGCTTTTTATAACCCTCAAAGTATCTGGGCAGCAGTGCCCAGGCTCACACAAGGGAACACTTCAATATTTGTCAGGCATTGTTGCTTAAGACAACCTGAGATCTGGAACTATTTTTTGTGGTGAAAATTTCTCTCCAGAACAGCAGTAGCTATTTAAACACACCAACATACTCAATTTCGTTCAGCAAATTATCTTTGCAGTAGAAGAGCTAGAAGAGTAAATTCTTAAAATTGGTTGTAGGGTACTTCAAAAGGTAGAAAATGAAGAATTATGAAACAGCACATAGAGACTTCTTTCTGAATATTAAATCTAAATAATATCTAATGAGTAAAAAAATCCCGTAATTTTATCTTAAGAATTTTGGCACTTGTTACTTACTAGGTGATTTTTTCTGGCTCAGCTTCAGAATAGGTTTTGTCATTTTCGGTTTCTTGATAAATGTCCCACCAGGTTTGTTATATGGTTGTGGTATCATTTTTCTTTTTAATCCTCTTGCAGCAACTGCTGCAGGACTGGGTTTGTTATGATAGTCAACAACAATTCCAGGTCTGTGCATGCCTCCAAACTCTCCCATATGCTGAAAATTTGCGAAATCAAGAAAAAGGTATTAGTATATGATATCACTAGAAATAAAGCAATTACTTGGTACAATAAAATTGTGAACTAAGTTAAAATCTGTGTTCTAGAGCAAAATGCAGGGGAAATTTAAGCTCCGGGTCTGATGTTGTGTTGTGCAATGGCTTTGTGGGTGTTTGCTCAGTAGAGATTATATGTATGTATAAACAGAGTTTATATGTATGTATAAACTGCGTTTCTGCTTATTCAGAACCACTGTCCAGACAGTGAACATGTCTATCAGAGTTCACATCTCAGCCTACATCTTGGTTCCTCTCTTCAGATTCTCTAGATGAATGACTTCTCCCTCCAGGATAAAAGAAGTGTTAGCCAACCCAGTTTGACACTTAAGTCATCAGTCCTATTGGAAGGGGAAAAAAAAAAGGGTTCTTTATGCCAAATGATTAGCAGTGACTTGAAAACTGAGTAAAGAAGGTTGTCCAGCGTGGAATGGTGATTAATTGAAGGAACCTCGTTCTTTCTTTTACTTATCTTTCCGCTGAATTCAATAAATATAGAATTTAAAAGTTGAGCCTGGAGGGAACGATACAAAAACATGGCAGCAATAGAAATTAAAATTCAGTTTAAAGACTAAACCTTTCTATTGTTTATAAAATGCTATACAATCATTTGTGGATTTTATAATGAAGGTTACATCTCTGAAGGCACAGAACAAATAAGTAATCTGAAGAGGAAGAATTTAGGTAGCTGAAATATATTCAAAAGAGCTAACATACTTCTTAATTATTTGATTAATAAAGAGCAGAAGAGAGCCCACTGACTGGATGGGTGACTTGGATAAGCAGAAATATTTATACTACCATGAGAAGAGAATTAGAATTACACTATTAAAGTTAAAGGAACATAAAAATAACTTCAACACACTTTGTGAAAACTGTAACTCTTTTTAAGCAAATTTTAAAATGACAGACAGAATGTACCAGAATAGGCACTTTTCTTAATCAAAAGTCCATGCACAAGATCTCCATGTTAATTTATTTAATTGAGATAGTTACAGAACTACCTAGCATGTGCATTTACTTTGTACACATAAACTGGACATGATGTATGCACTTGGATAATCTCACGTACTTCTTTTTGTAAACAGTCTATCTATTAAAGGTGCAATGCATTTTACGTATGTAAGTACTTTAGCCTTCACATTCTCCTTTATTACATAGAAGACTGAAAAAGATAAGTTTCAAAGGCAAAACAAAAAGTAAGGCTACTTGTTGTAACTTGGCACAAAACTTTCAGATCTAAATGAGTTCTGAAAGGATGGCATCCAAGCTTAAGAACCTTACACTTTCAGCTTTACAAGCAGAGAAACAAATCTTAGAAACTATTTCTCATACCATGCTACATGCTAGCTAGCAGCCATGTGAAAATCTGAGCTAAAATTTGAATATGGCAACTACAGTACTCAAGAATGCTGCAAAGTAGACTTTCTGAAACAAAACCACCACACAGTTAAGCATTTAGAAAACCCAGTAAAAAATAATCTTCCTCTACACTTCCAAGCTACGAACAAGTTGTATTGCTAATATTAAGAGAATTGCTTCCCAAAGAAATATGGCACGCTTTAGAATTTTCAAATATGAGTTACATCTAGAGGCACAAGCAGAAAAGTGTTCACTGAACTCTTCATGCTTAAAAGACCATAATCAGAATTGGGATTTAAAACCAAGATAAAGGGACACCATCAACTTAAAGTTAGTACTTCTGACAGGATTTTATTTTATTCCCTTTGGTTTATTTCCCTTCAAACTCCACCCCCTCCCCCACATGACTTCTCCAAACTGTGATCCACTATTTTGTGAACAGTTAATCCCTGATGTTTCTTGGACATATAGTTCTCCCATCCTACACTGGAATCTACTAAAAAGGAGTTAGAACCTAAGTCTTCAAAAGAAAATGAATACCTGAGATAAGTGGATGACCTGATTTCAAGTTGATGATGCCCCTTTAAGCATGCTTTAATTTTGAAAAAGAATCACTGTAACTGCTAATCATCCAACTTTGCCATTTCCTCCCCATCACCCTTCCAATACACAAGTCAGAGTAAGAATTAAGTTTTAAAGAAGACTTGATGTTTGATAAAGCATGTGTTCAACATATTGAAGAATTAGCTAAACTTTTACCTTTACAGGTACAACCACCCCTAGCATTCACAACCTGGGTTTTACTTTTCGCTTATACATTGCACCTTTAACCTACTCAAAACTTCAAAAGACTTTTTAATTAAAAACTTTTACAATATTCAGGAGTTTCCCCACCAGCAGCAAAGATGCTAGTGTTTACAAGGAAAAATGCAAGTCCTTTTAATCCCTTTTAGACCAAACCTATTACTTTTATCTTCACCTTTCAAACAAAAGGAGAGATTTAACAAACCTTATCAACTAGTCTTCTATTACTTATTACTTTCAACAGAAAGAGGGACTGGGTGCTACTTGAAGAGAGCTTCAAGGGGGTAAACAACATCGTCAACCATGACAGTTTGCTTGGACAAAAACCCACACTGCACTGAGCAGTGCATTCATTGTAAAGCAGTGGTCTTGAAAGGGTTTAAAAGAGTGTCTAGTGAAAAGAATCTGAAAAGATTCTGTACTTACTCCTCGGCCTCGGCCTCTGCCTGTTGATGGTCCTCCAAAAGCATCATAGTTTCTGCTTCCAAATCCACTTTCAGGATAAGCAGGCGTTCCTCTCCCCCGAGAGCCTACAGGTGCAGGCTTCATATGGGGTGAAGAAAAACTGCTGTAGGAAGAGTAACTCTCTCTTCCTCTGTCCTCCATAAACCCAGGCCTCAATTTTGAACGGGAGTAAGGTGCTTCCCAGCTAGACCCGCCCTGGTTTCTACCTCCGAAAGAGTCAAGGCTATTCCGGTAGGAGTTGTCAAATCGACCACCATAACTACCTCCGAAGCGGCTTTGTTCGGGTTCATTATAACCATAGCCAGATCTGTACAGATCTCGCCCACCCAGAGAAGACCCGGAGTCGTAAGACTCATAAGGTCCAAACCTGGAAAAGTTGCACAGTGAGGAGAAAAAAAAGTAAGCTTACTAATGTTATACATTTCAAAATACAAGTTATCAGTTGACATTTATCAACTAAAATCAATGTATTACTATACTGGTCCGTACAGTTGTGTTATTGTTTAATCTTGATTAGGGCTGGGCAAATCACACTATGACCAGATAGAAAGCTATCTGAGCCATTTTTGCTACAAACAATTCTAAAGTTCAGTATGTCTGAACTTCGTTTACTTAAAATTTTCAGCAACAATTATTTACTAAAACATCATTAGAGCCCAGCCCTAGTCTCACGAAAATAATCACCTGCAGACATTCATAGACTAGTCAAACTCTCCTTTCTTCAAAATCATGACCTCATATTCTAACAGTTAAACAGCAGTTAAAAGGCAGCTTAGTTCTGAACTGAGGAAAAAGAAATTTTTTTTTTAGTGGTACAGTTGTGTGTCTCAAACACCCCACAGTTCTAATTTTAAAGGAAAAATACACGTGCTCTTCCATTTGTATTTGTACTTTTCAAAGATTTTCTTCCCTCTAACATTCAGTCCCCATCAAAGCGTTCATGATCTTCAGTGTATCCCTCTTTTACTTGCAGACCATTAAGTCTAGCAGCTCAGGATTTCAAAAGTCTACCCAATGCATGCACAGTGGACCTGAAAACAGTCCTCGGAATTTCAGAGCAGAGTAACAGGGAACTGAAATCTTTAGCTATTTACCAAGGGTTTGCTTTGCCTGTGGGCAGGGGAGGGTCAGGCTAGAAATCATCCATATTTGTGACTTGGAAGGTAAACACATTAGTGTCCCTGCAGGGCTGTAACAGGGCGAATCAGCAGGAGTTGGGAAAGACAACCCCTTGACTGATCAAATATAAGCTAGAACAGACTCAAATTAGTAACTGTATCTACAGTAAACTGATTGCCTTCACTTTAAAATACGTTAGCCTCAGACGACCCAAAGCAACGCAGAGAATGACACTATCTACAGAAAGAGCCCATGCACAGTATTAACATCACATGGCAAGAGACATTTTGGTGTTCAAGTAGTCATTCAACCTCAATCATATGCAGATTACTGTATGGTAGGTACAGCTCATTCCTGAATCTCTGCTCACTTTTAATTCAATCTTAAATATAATTTGTCTAACGAAAAACATTAACTAAAATGTTTAACAAAACCGTGCAGCAAAACACAACAGTTCTCCAGCCTCCCTACTTAGCACTGTCCTTGCCCAGTGGCACTACAGTGACTACAGACAAGAATCATACAGTAGTCTGGCTACAGCCAGACAAGAATTCAAGGGCGCACACAAGAAAACCATCAGATTATCTAAATTTTCTTCACATTTTGTTTCCTACAAGATAGAATCACTACTCTGAAAAGCATGCTTCTTTGAATATGTTAACACCTGAATCAAATCAGCTGCTTCCTACTGTTTTTATCTGAAAGAGCAACAGTAATAGTATCCTAGCGTTAAATACACAACTTTAAGACCACTGCATCAGAATTTTATATTTTTAGACCAATCCTTCTCAGAAAGCAGCCCAGAACATGCACACAGTTTTGAGTGTAATCAGTACCTGCCAGTGAAATAATCTGGACATGACTTTCAGATTCAATACCAAGATCACGTAAGCACTGCACATTCAAACCAAAGAACACATACCCTAAATGTTCCTTGAAAACGGAATGTTGATAGATTCGGTCTAAGGCACTAAACCAGTTAGGTCTAGTCTATGTCAGAAATGGTATGCCAGGCCAATCAGCTACAAATTGCTAGCCATTACTGAAAAATAAAACTTTTTCCATTTTCATTCAAAGACGCGTTGTTTCACTGTCAAACTTTTCCACAAAAATACTGATTATTACAGGAATCCAGCTCTTACAGTTTAGTATTTGCCAGTGTTTACTGAACACAAAGACTCAGAACCAAAGCGTTCATACAAAATCATAACAACATGCCTCAGGAACACTTAAGTTAGAAGACAGAATGATTTAAAACTTAAATTGGATTTCATCAATTCTTGGGACAACCGAAGGATTATTTTACCTGTTACCACCACCACCACCTCCTCCGCCTCCACCTCCATGACTCTCCATCCCATAGGATTGGTTAAGGTAAGAGTCCATGGATCGTGGGCCACCATAGCCTCCATGCCCATAATCACGGTCCATGTCTAAAAAAAGAGCAGAAAAATGTTTATCAAGAAAGCAAGCAAGTAGTCTTATTAAGTAATCTAGTTTAAATTCCTAAGTAAAAAGGTTTACTCTTTGTCACAGAGCTTACAAAGAAAATACAAAACTGCCAGATGCAAACAAATTTCAACACACGCTTTGGAAGCCGTGTGTCTTCAACATCACCTGAGCACCTCTTCACCGAAATCCACTTCTTAATTTTTCCCCAGTAATGGATAACTTGGGGTTATTGTTCCGTCAGCTGGAATTCAGACACAAGTTAAATTAAGAGAATTAAACAGAGAAGCCCAATGTGGGATATGTCGGAAGTTAGTGGGGAATTAAGACCACTTGCCTCCTTTTAATCATACACAAAGCTCAGAGGCATCTGCTTCTTCTATCCAATGCCACAAGAAACCTTCACTCACACTGGCAGAGATCTTGGGTCAAGGTTACAAGCTGTCATGCTGCAGTGCACACTCTGTATATAGGCTACAATCCAACAAGAGTATTTTCTCCAGTCTAGCACAAACAAAAAATCCACCCAAATCAGGACTAGGTTGCAGTTCACTAACTGCACCAAGACGTTGGCATTTCATAGCTAAACTGATGTCACTACATGACATCTTTGTACCTTGTAATGAAGCCTGGCAAAAGAACCAGTTTCTACCCCAACACTGGAAATCCTACGTAAAAGTTCTGGTTACAAAACCACTCACAAATTCAAAGCACTGAACCAGTGTCGTGATCCGCGGAACGAGTATGACCCGGTCTTCCTGTGGCATACGCAACTTGCAATTCACCAGTGTTCTAGTGACCAAAACTGCTTCTGGGTACCAACCAGCACTAACTTTTAGCTAATACAAAGGAAGCCTGGCAAGTCAAGCCTTACGGAAAAGGTAATGTAGAGAGGGAAAACATACTGAACACAGGAAGGGCAAAAATATAATCTCACAAAGACTCGTCCACTCTGACAAGATAGAGTGTTCCGTGTATTTCAAACTCTCCCAAGCGTAAACCCCTGACTTTTCCAGAAAATTACAATATGCGCATGAAGTCAGAAGAAACACAGTAATTCTGTGTGCATATAATTTCATGAAAATAACTGTAGTAATGAAAAAAAGTGTATGTACTATTTCCCGATCGTACCTGCTTCTTGTTAGCACCAGGCAACCACTGTAATTTACTTCTTTACATCTGTCAACAAGAATTCTGCAAACGGCATTGAGCTGACTGTATCACTTTTATAGAGTTGTTCTCAGTATGCCTGAACAGAGACTCCAACAAATGAAGATACCCTGCCATTTTTTTCTTTTAACAATCATAAGCACTTTTTAAAAAATTGAAGAGGGTACTTCTGTAACAAAAACTACAAACATGGAATTCACACTGCACCCTTCCATATTCCGAACATCAAATAAAGATTCTGCAGCAAAGCAGAAAAAAAGTATCCTAATCATGTAGCAGCACACAGCAGCAACTTGACCTGCAAAAAAGTTACTCTTTAAAGAAATGGCTGAGCCTTCTAATGGAAGCATCTGATTCTCATCTCTGGCATGACCAAATGATCTACAACCTAATCCAGTGAAATACTCTCAAGACTGCCTACATAAAGATTCAGGCCACTAAGAGAGCAAGGTAGTCAACAAAGTAATTTCAGTTTCACAGTACTTAAGGTTAGATGATCCTGTGGTCAGCCTCTCAGATCCAAGGTTGTTGTCTGTTTGGGGTTTTTGGCTTTGGTTGTGGGTTTGTTTTGTTTTAAATACAGTATATTTAATCAAAAGGACAGTGACATGCTGAAAACTAAAATATCTGACCTGAAAGCACCCAATAATTTATCTTAGTTTCACCTGCTACCTATTACCTACAGACCCCAAGATGGCACAAAGTAATTAGGAGTTGAAGAAGTGAATCAAATAATTCGACAAGGAAAAACACAACATATGTCAAGATCTCTGCCACTGCAATCCAATTCTATCACAGTGTTGTAAGTAGTGGCTGGTATTGTCCATATGCCGTAAGCTCACTAGTGGGAAAACCACAAATATTCACATGCAAAAGAACTCTTTCCATAAATAAAAAAAATAGTGTGAAGCATAGTTTTGCAATAAATTTTCAGTCTAAAGTTTGTAAATGTTTATCAAAAATAAAACAAAAAAATTTTAAAGTAAAAATTTTAAAATCTAGGAATACTACAGAGTGAATAAGAGAAGGTTGGACAAGTATCTGAAACAAAGAGCTTGCTGAAGGAATAAACCAGGTTTTGGTAACTGCAGCCTCTTGCATAAATACAATGTGGATGAATGAGCTGTTGAACTAGAGTACAGAATAGAATTGCAAAGAACAATCTCACTTTTCATTTCTAGATCATATTAAAAGTCTAATTGGGGTAGGGGAGAAGAAGAGTTATGTCAAAGGGGAAAAAATTATGTATTGCCTCTAAAATAAAGAATAGGAAAGTAAAATACAAGTTAAAATTATTAAGATATTAATCTGTTTTTATTACTTCATATTAAAAAAAAAAAGCTGTATCTGGTAGAGGGATCATTTAAAATAGCTGCAAAATGCACCTCAATAGCCAGCAAAGAAAAATCAAGTTTTCCTTAGGAAGAGAACTAGGAAGTTAAACGCAGAGTATATAAGACTCAGAATCCCTTGGTACAAAGGATTCTCTATTCAAAAGAAAAAGCTTAAGATCAGAGAACATTGAAATCATATTCACAGCACAAGGAAACTAAATCATTTTCAACAGTGTTTTCATTGTGGAGCATGTGAAAAGGCTAGGAAGATGAGAGAAAGGAGAAAGATCTTGCAGTAATGAATAATAAATGAAAAAATAAACCTCAGTAAAATAAAAATAACCTTTAAACAATAATACAGAAGTACCAGCTTGAAACAAGATAAATTTCCCTCTATCTTAAATTCTTAATGCACAATGACTATAACAAGCTTAAGGATCCATTGTGCAAGAGTAAGCACTATTTTTTCCAGGCACATTTTTCATAACACCATGCCTGCTTTAAGATCACAACCTTGTCATCAGCTACAGAAGGTTTAACACATCGAGTCCTAAGCAAAACAAGGAACCAATCCAACAATGTAGATGAATTTTAGGAATAGAAGCAAAAGCCATTTAGCCCTTCCAGATTTAAAGGATAACAGTTACAGTTATTAAAATATTAACATGAAGAGTTAATAATATTTCTGTTAACAGTATTAACACAATTTATTCTACAGGCCATGTCATCCATCTCAAATCAAGTCATCAGCAAGGGACAATGGTGGAATTACAGCGGTCACCAGCCATCCAATGAGAAGTGCTTCACACTGGCTAAGTTTCCAACAGGAAGAACCTTGCCAAGAACTCAGAACGGAAAACTGCGCAAAGCTGAAAACTCTCAACAGCCATCCTCTGTTGCCATCTACTGGACGCCTACAAAATAGCCGTTAGCCCACGGTACAGAATCCGTGTAAGACAAGGCTTGATGCACGCCTTACTAAGGTATACATACAACGCACAAACACTAAATGTTTCAAACTGCATACATCGTAATTAAACTTGTTTCAGAATTATAAATAAAAAAGCTTAATTATCGCAATGAAAACTGTTATTACGGAGGTACGTGAAAGGAACAATCTAATTGTACAACACACACTTAATTGGTTACTTCCCATAGGGTGAGTCCGAATTTACTTTAATACTACTGTAATCAGATTTCAGAAAAGCAGGTTCTGGTTAATGGCTACAGTGAATATTCCAATAAAATACTTAAACTGCCACTTAAGAACCTTTTTATAGTAAAAATCTAAAGGGCATTTAATTAGGAATCAATACAGAGTAAGAAAAAACAAGGCCGTAGCTTGAATTTATTTATTTTACTATGAAGAAAGATAAAAACAAATTATCAGTGGCAAAAAAAAAGGCTAAGACTCGAGGAATGTGTCATAAAAATTATCATACTGCAATCAAAGATGAATCTGTAATCCCACATTATTTCCATGTAACAGCCGGCAAGAGTATCAAAACATCCAACAGCAAACACTTCTGCAAGTGAAGTTCTTGTATTAACATCCTTTTAGTACTCGCTTGCATGCTGGCAAGGGATGTCAATCATTTCTTGAGTCTTACGAAACTCGTGGTCTTAATCATCTTACAACAACGCGCATTCCTTTTTTGTTGTATCTACGTGCTATTTTTGACGTGCTATAATAATAAGAGCTAGCTTTTGCTGTATCACATTTAATTCATACGCTTTCTAAACTCCTTCCCAAACTCTTAAACTAACTGGGAAAATGTTAAAAGTGAAAATCAAGCAGGTTCTCTTTTTCTCCATGTCCATATAATAGGGGGAAACAACTTCTTTCTTTCCGACAGCAGAAAACAAAATACCCATTTATGCAAAAAGCATCATCATACGAGAAGTCTGTATTCCCCCCATCCCCACTCCTTGATCTCACAATTTGGATCTGGAACGTGCAGGATCACGCTGACATGCCCAAGACGAAAACCGCGTCTCACTCCCAGCCAGTCACAACTCCTCCAGCACACAGCATGTGCAGTCAAACCACGTTACGTACTTCAAATAACCCGTTTGTTTTTTTGTTTTTGTCAACACTGACTGTTCAGCCCCAACGCTTTTTACAGGTTAGACGTATTTATAGCTCATACCTGAGACTGACCCACTGGGCATGTTCACACCACAATGCATGGGGGTATCTGGGAACCTCCAATCTCTGTCTTCAGCTGGAGAGGATGGGTCAGTGAGAATGACTTAGTGCTTAGCAAGAGCTGGAGGGGAGAGACAGGGAGCCGCAACAAGAG